TTGATTTTGTTATCATTTACACAAGTTAGAGATCTAGCTCAAAAAAGCACCACACCTATTGGGTCCCTAATACTTGGCTCTTGGATTCTGGGGCGTCGCCATGTCACCACTAACCTGACCAATCTTGCCTTACACCCTGAATATCATGGACCCGATGAACTTCAAATAGGTGATGGAACAGGTTTGTAAATTACACATATGGGACACTCCACACTTTCTACTCCCTCTACCTCTATTCCCTTGCATAATATTTTATGTGCTCCCCATGCTTCCTACAATCTATTGTCTATTTCTCAATTATGTGAAAGTGCTAATGTCTATGTTGAATTTCACCCTTCTTATTTTTTATTGAAGGATCAGGTCACGGGGGTGACGATGGCACAAGGTCCAAATGTTCATGGGACATACCAATTCCCCAGAAAAATTAAAACTAGGCCTGCTGCCTTAGTAGGAGAAAGAGTTTCGATGGCGAATTGGCATTGTTGTTTAGGTCATCCATCAACAAAGACCCTAAAATCTATTATTAATGTTTATTAATTACCTATTTTTAATAAAAATACTCTTTCTCCATGTGATTCGTGTGCATGCTCCAAAAGTCGCAAATTATCTCTTTTCAACTCTTCAATTACCTATCAATTTCCACTAGAACATATTTATTTTTATGTTTGGGGCCCTACCCCTATTACTTCCATTGATGCCTACTCCTACTTTCTCCTATTTATCGATCTTTACAGTAGATATAGATGGATTTTTCCAATTAAACGCAAATTTGATGTTGCCTTAATTTTTCCCCAATTTAAACAACTTGTAGAAACCCAATTTGGGCTCAAAATTAAGAATTTTCATTTTGATGGTAAGGGCAAATTTATTGCCAAAGTTTTTAAAATCGGACCGGTCATTGAACCGTTTTCGGGTCCAGTTTTCGATTTGACCGGTTCAATTGGTGAACCGGTCGGTTCAAATAACAAAGGAAATTTGATGAGAGGGATAGGTAATTTTGTAATTTCATTAAAATTAAGGGTTAAAATCGGTATAAGAAAAGAATGGTGAGGGTGAAATTGGAAAAACCAAAAAGAAAATTGCATGAGAAATTGAACCGATGGTTTTTTCGGTTCTACCGGTTCCACCGGTTTTACTGGTTTTGACCGATTTTGAACGGTTTTGATCGGTTTTGAACGGTTTTGGATCGATTTTGATCAATTTTGACCGATTTTGACCTCAAATGGTTTTTTATGTGAACCGAACCATTTTCATTACTGAGTACCGGTCCGACCGGTTCAACCGACCAATCCGGTCCGATTTTAAAAACCTTGTTTATTGCTTTGCAAAACTTTTTATCTCAATGTGGTATATCTACTTTTACAAATCCTCCATATACAGTTGAATTAAATGGCATAAGCAAAAGGCACAATCGCCACATTGTTGAAATATGTTTATCTCTACTTTACACATCGTCTTTCCCTCCCAAATATTGGTCTTATACTTTCCAAACGGCAGTCTACCTAATTAATAGGTTGCCTACTAATGTTCTTCAATCTATTTCCCCTTTTGAAAATTGTTTTGTCACGAACCTAATTATCTCAAATTAAGAGTTTTTGGCTGCCTTTGTTTTCCATGGCTGCCTTTGTTTTCCATGGCTGCGTCCC